TTCTACTGCTAAGTGAAATAAATAATGAAAACGCGACACAGCACACGGAAAGAAAACAGCAATCCCAGTGAAACGGAATGCATTCCATTTCTTAAAAAAATTTGACAGTCTCAATGTGGATTTGTACAATGCAATGTATTACCAGTTTGCTGTTATTAGGGCACGATCATAATGATAAATGAAATTTTCATTTGGAAATGTGGATTGTCGGTTCCGGGCTGGACCAAAATACAGCCCGGGCCTGGCCGAATAAAGAGTTGCCGGCTGGGTGAGTTTCGATTGCCCCCCTCCCCCCTCTCCCATGGTGTCTCGGGACTGGCAATCCCATATAGTTTTCGTTTTTTTAAATACTGTGTGTTAGATGTGTATTTCAGGCAGATGAAGCACCATCAGCAAGCAGAGAACTTTCCGAACGTATTTCCATGTTACTGGATTCACAGCGTGATATTCGACGGGTTTGTATCGCAAAGTATTTGCGACTGTTCGAGATTCAGAAAGAAGACACAGGATACGGGTGTGGATATCGGAATTTACAAACCATCATTGCATCGATTGTGAATGATCGGGAACTGAGATGTGCCGGTGGAATAACTGAAGTGCTAACGTCGATTCAGCAAATACAAGAGGGAATTGAACTGGCTTGGATGGTCGGATTTGATCCAGTTGGTGCCTCTAATCTGGATTTTCATTTGAAAGGAACACGAAAGTGGATTGGTGCAACGGAAATTGCCGCATTCCTTCAGGTTTTTCATTAAATCATCTCGAAATTTTGTTTAAAACTTAAGAACTAGTGTAAATTTTCAGTGAAACTGTTGAGCATCCCAAAATTCTCGATGACGATTTCAAGATTTTTCGAAAAGTTCCATCGTTTTCGTAGAATTTTTGAATGTTCTGCAGCATTTCCATGGTAATCCATATGTATCAGATATAATATAAAAGTCTGTTCTCATTAAGTACCATCGAATACGTGTGCAACTAGTTGATGTAAGATTACTACTGAATCGAATTCAAAAACAACGACAGATCGTGGAGTGGGTCTGGCGGTATTTCAATTCTGATGGACCGCAGATACCTTTATATTTTCAACATCAAGGTATATTATTATATTGCTGATTCTGTTTTCATTATTGATATTAAAACTATTGTTTAGTTTCGGTATTATCATTAAGACTGCTATTATTTTGATGACTGATATTTTTACAAAAAGGATTCTTAGCAACAAAGGATTCTGTGAGTAATTCCAGGTCACAGCCGTGTTATAATTGGATGTATTGAAAGTTCGAACACATCGACTGGAAAGGAGCTACTCATCTATGATCCT